TAAATTGGACAAAATAAGATCAATGAACTTAAAATTTTATGGCTTTGTAGACCAAGAAAGTCAAGTATTTGAAATTCAATAATAATAAGAAGAAATAGAAAAGGAAGAACTAAAATTAGAGGAAAATGAGAAAATTATTAAATTTACCATGTAAAATATAAAATAGTAAATATTGACAAGTAAATAAGAGCACAATCAGACAACTGAAAATAAAGATTTAAATTATAATGAAAGAATTAAAAAAAAATTTAGATCCTGGCCCCTATTTGAACCTCCCCACTCTGGCCCAGCCCAATTTAATGTTCTCTCCTACATGAATAACATGGTCTAAGGAGTCTGATTTGTGACCCTCAATGTCCTGTATGAGTCCATTCACTGGGCCCACCAGGAGTCCCACTCCAGTAAGACACTCTTTCCCCCCTCACAGAACTTATCAATCACTAAAAGTTCCTTAGGTTGGGTTGGAATTTTTTACTCATTTTCCATGTCGATGACAGAGTTTTGTCTGGTTTGAGTTTATATAGGACTTGTGTATGCTGTCACCATTACTGTGAGTTCATACGCATAACTGACCAGCTGCCTAGAAGACTGTTTTCCTCTGGTCATCCATCACCTCTGGCTCTTACAGTATTTCTGCCTCCTCTTCCGCAATGATCCCTGAGCCTTGGGAGGCAGAAGTTTGAAAAATAGATGTCCTATTCAGGGTTAATCACGCTCCAACCTCTGGTTCTCTGCACATTGGTCAATTGTGGGTTTCTGTGTTAATCACCATATACTACATAAGGAAACTTTTCCAGTGAGAGTTGAAAGATGCATTCATGTTATGTATAAAGGCGGAATTGCAGATGTGTCATTTAGGGGTAAGCATCTCACTGACAATTATTCTCTGCTTTTGGTCAGTTCTGCAATAGTCTCATCAGTTTTCAACCTCTCATCAGAAAGGCAGCTCCATTATACAACAACCCAATGGAACAGTATTTTCTGGCAATGGTCCCTGCTTCTCTCTTATACAGTCTCTAATAATTGTGCTTTCTCCTCTAGGTGTTTTATTTCCTTTCTTCCTTCTATATCTCTTCTTCTATGCTGCTTTCCCTGCCCCCTCCTCCTTCATTCCTCAGTGGGCCTACTTCCTGGTAGCAGCCCAGATACAAAAAGCATGGTAGAAGAAAGGGTATTCTCTTTTTGCTTGCTGGTCCTTCCCTCTGGATGACAAGTTAATTTGCTGCTGCTGCTGCCTTCGCTGACATCAGACCAAGTGTTTCCAGGCTTCTGTCATTGACTGAGGGCTAACAGTTCTTCAGAAACCCCCCAGGATTTGGGTGCCATATTGGGACTCTTCAGGCACCAGCCCCGTGGATTGACAACTATTGGAGTCTTAGTATCTCTAATGTGAGACAACCACTGTACTGTGGAGCTGCTCTAACAGCTGAGGCACCAACCCAGCACTCAAGACTGAGCAACTACCAGCTTCTCGGCCTCTCAGATATGACTCAGTTGCTCCTGCTATTTAAATGTAAGCTAATACAATTTATATATAAATTCTTACATATGCAAATGATGTATTCTATGTACACGTCATTCATTCATTCATTCTTTCAGTTCTCTTACTCTAGATAACCCTGAGTAATACAGCATGTAAGGTTCTTTATGTCTTGACCTTTACTTTTCTCTAGGTGCAACTCCCTGCACATCCATTCTTTCTTGGTATAGCAGTACCATGCTCCAGGTCCTTTCATAAAAGCACTTGATGCCTGTGTGGTTTCCTCTTTCAAGTCAAGTAAAGCACAGTTTCTTCTAGAGAGTATTCTATGACTTAACTTCTCTTTTTTAGTCTCCCGCTGAGCTATCAATCTTCATTACAGCAGATGCGGTATAAAAGTTGCTTCTACAGTTTACTGAAGTTAGGAGGAGGATTTTTAGGTAGGTGAAATTTTAGAGCAGCATAGCACATGGGTAGGTTACATATAAAACTCAGTAATTCTCTTCCTGTTCCTAAGTTCCAATGGCAAAGATAGGGGCTCATTCCTCAACCTGAAAGGGAAATAGGGGCATTTTCTTTCAGATTTCAGTAAGGCCAGCTTTTCACTGAATAGATGATTGGGAACTTTCTTGACAATCTATATGCACTCAACAAACACATCTTCTATTGACTGTCTAGTAAATGGATAACTGTATTTCAATGGGCTCAAATAGAGTTATGGGTCTTATATGTTCTGTCCTTACACTTTTTGCTGATAGTTTGATGCTATTCTAGTTCTTATAGGAGATGGCATGGAAGCCAGAGTCTGCGCAGCTTAAGCACATTGGATATCACAAATTATTTAGGGCTGGTCTGTACGAGAATTTTGAGGGACGTTCAACATTTAGGTGTGGACATATCTTCAGGACTGTATATATACATATATTATATATATATGTTATAGATATATGTATAGCATATATATGTATAATATATACAATACAGTACATATATGTAGTATATGTATAGTTATTTGTTTTCAAAATCCACAACTTTATTTTTCTTGGCTAGGAATATGTGGTAGTTTGAATGAGAACATCCCCCCATAGGCCCCCAAGTATTCAGACATTTTGTCCCCAGTTGTTGGTGCTGTTTTGGGAGGTCTTACAAGGTGTGGCCATGCTGGAGGAAGCAAGTCACTGGGAGCAGGCTTAGAGAGTTCTTAGGCCTTGCTGGATTTCCAGTCACTCTCTTCTTCTTATGTCTGTTTAAAGATGTGAGAGCTTAGCTTCTGCTCCAATTCCAGCCACTTCTGCTGCCATGAATCTCTGCCATGATGCACTTTTGCCCCTTCAGTCACAGTTTTTTAATCACAGAGACATAGAAGTAAACAACACAGGATATAACTGAACAGTAGAGAATTTTCCTAGTTAGACACTGAGTTCTATCCCCAGTGTCACTGAAGATCAAAGGAAAACAAATCTCTATGTAATAACACTATTGTACAATAATTAAAATAATGGTGCATCATTGTGTGAGTGAA